GTAAAGCACAGTATTCCGATTATCGCCACTGCTAGCCACCGCTGTTAAAAAAAAAATATATAACGAACTAATCTATAGCCAAAGATAATAAAAATCGGCGGATATTTTGCGCTTTTCGTGATTAATTGTTAAATTTTCAGGAAAACGCGCGAGTGTCTATGAACACGTACGATCCATGGTGTATGAGTAACCTTCCTATTTGGTCATATTTTATACAAATAAATAGCGCTAGGAATCTCATGCAATTGCAATACAATACAATAAATGCATGTTGTTTTTACATATTTTTGATTTACAACCATTTAAATTTACTGCTTGACATTTCTTGACAAAAAATTTACCTATAATTTTTCTCAATAAATTCATCTGAACCACTGTTTTAAACTGTCAAGAGCTAGAAAATTAATATATTAATTAGTTTTGTCTCTTTTTACAAAAATAATATAATTTCCGATGACTAAAGTTGTTCTGGAATTCATGAAAGCTTTTTTTTTTTTGTTTTTTTTTTTTTAAGTTGTTGAGTCTTTTCTTCCGTTAATTAAATTATTAAATAGTAAAAATTAAAAAAAATCTAAATATAAAAAATAAATAAAAAATGTGGGGTATTTTATTCTTGTGAGCTCCTCGAGGTAGACTCTGGTTACTGCAAGTGCTGCAATTTGCAGGCTAATAAGAAGTTAAATTTTGAAATAATTTTTAAAATCTATTTATCAATTTTATTCTAATTAAATGAATTTTTTAAAACACTTTGACATAAAAGCCTCCACTTAAAGTTTTTCAATTAAATTTGTAATTTTCTTGGTTTGAATAATAAAAATGATTGCCTTAATTGATAGATAGGCAATCCTACTCAAAGATATGTTAGTGTTAAAGCTTGTTCAAGCATACATTTTTTTTATTAAACGTAATTGTAGCTTTCTAGAAAGGTGGTAACCCACCTCCATATAATTTTTTTAATCCTTCAAACAGTTTTTGTTTTACTTTAGAAATTGAAGTATGTGTAGAGCCTTTGAAAATTTTTTTTCCAGAAAATTTCAAACAATCCAAAATATGGATGCCAAACGTGAAAGGCTCGAGAGAGCTTTATTTCAAAAGTATTTTTGAAGAGGATTGCCACCTGCTCAAAAAATTAAAATCAATTTAAATAACAAGTTAAATAAAATATTTTTATATAGGTACCAAACGCGAGAGAGGTTTAAGAAAGCTTTGTTTTTAACATATTCTTGCAGAGAGTTGCCACCTGTTTAGAAACTTAAATTCAACTTAATGAAATATTCAAATGTATCAAACGATAGATGCTTAAGGGACTTTATTTCGAAAATATTTCCGAAGTGGACTGCCACCTGTTTAAAAATTCAAAATTAATTTCATTAACAAACCTCGAGACAATAAACTACTTTTTTATATATGTAATTTATTTTCTTTTTTGTTGCATGTCAAATCATATCGTTAAGCCGCGCGGGCAGAGCTTCGGGCATTGCATAATTCAAGGGCATATATTTGTTTTTGTGGACTTTTACGTTTCTTGTATAGAGATTTTGTTTGAGAATACCCCTAGTGAAATTTTCTGGGGAATAATTTTCTGGAAAGTTTTAACCCCCTAGCGACCTCTGAAATGTCATTTTATTCAAGTTTCCGAAAAAAAAGTCAAAACGACGCTTCCGAGAGAGAGCTAATGGGTTAAAATTTTTAACATCATCCCACTCAAACAATGACCTTGAAAATGTTGGAAAGTGTTATCTATAAAAAAAAACACATTTATCACATTTACTAGCAAAATGTTTTATCAGCAAATAATATGTATTACATAGATTCCATTACTGACGCTTCCAAGTGGCATTAAGTTTGTTCAAGTGTTTTATTTTCTACAAAAAATTCATTGAAAAATGCCCGGCATTTCTATTATTTGCCATACTTATTAAAGCTGCAGTTCAGCTATCCTGTATGTATACATACATACATACAGTATTGGACATATCTATAGCACCCCCCTTTCAAAGCGATATTGTTTGCCACTTATGTTTAATTATTTGTTTTTAAGAATTTTCAATTAAAATACAGTTCATTCTCCAACAAAACCCATATAAACCAATGTTTTAAACTTTTTAAAAGACCGCAAAAAAGAGCAACAAACTTTCCCTTAAATTTCAAACTTTTTTCTCAGAAGCTCTAGAATTTTTTTGAGTACACAGTTTCATAGCGCATTCAATTTTGTCCAATAATGTGCAAGTTTGAAGTCGCTAAAGATTACCGTTGATTTTTTATCCATTTGCTTCCATATAACGGCTAAACACAATTTATTTTTATATGGCAGAAACCCGCAACATCCTCGGCGAAAAAAATTCTAAAAAATCAACGGTAATTTTTAGCCACTTGAAACTTGCACATTATTAGACTAAAATTGAATGGGCTATAAAACTGTGTATTCAAAAAAATTCTACCGCTTCTGAGAAAAAAGTTTGAAATTTGGGTGAAAATTTGTTGCACTTTTTTGCGGTCTTTTAAAAAGTTTTAAGCTTGAGTGTATGTGAATTTTGTGAGAGAATGAACTGTGTTTTAATTGAAAATTCTTAAAAATAAATAAATAAACATGAGTGGCAAACAATATCACTTTGAAATGGGGGTGCTATTGTATTGGCCAATACTGTACATACATACATACATGGCTCCCTATGTTCTCTACAGATCCGTATGTACTATTTAAATTTAAAGAAGTAGTAAAATTTAAAAAGTTAACTTATTGTAGTAATTTATGTCGATATTAATAAATTTTTGTAATAATCTTGTCTACGTTATGTTAAATTACGGAGTTCTTACGATTTTTCGCTGATTATTGATTGCGGCTGGTCTACTTTTTTCCAACAGTTTAACCCATCAACTCCCAACAGAACGGGCTTTTTTACCCTCTTTTTAAAAGATGTTAAATTTCCACTAAAATATTAAGCGCCAAATTTTTCTAAGGTTAACCGAATGTAATGAAAAATAATACAAATTTTTACCAAAAAAGTGGGAACTTTAACCCTGTGTAGAAAACGTAATTTTCACACAGCCACTTATTACTTGCATACGTCTGTGGGATCCAAGAATAACATAACTTACGAATTTAAAAATTAGCAAAAAAAAAGGTTTTGCTTTTTATTAAAAGTCTGTTTAAAAAATAGTCAACCCTTTATAAAAGAAAAAAAAACACACAAGAAAATCAACTTGTTTTTGTTTTACCTCCAATATTTTGAGGAGTTGTAGTTGATTTCCACCAAGCCTTGACTGCAGTTTCGTAACTTGGCGGCAGCGTGTGAAGAATGATAAAAAAAAGGGCGGCGGCGGCGTAAACCTCTAGTACATATGTATGCATGTACGTATATATGAATGCATATAAAAGGCTAATGATAGTAAATAAAATCGCATTCTACATTTTGGCGTAAACAAAAACAATAATTGTTTTTAACAGATAAAATTCACAATAACGGCATTAAACATTGATAAGTGCAACGTGTAGCTGACTCAACTGAGAGCAGAGAAACACAATGCATAAACAGCAACAACAAATTCCCATATCAACAAATGCAAATAAATTTGGAATAAGCACCGTCACTCGGCTGCTCGTGCTCGGTCATGCGGCATTGTGCAACTAAGTACTATTTACTATCTAAGCATATAAAACGTGCAGCTCATTACAAGCCAAAAAATAGTTAAGGGAAATACTTATATAAAGTACATACATATATGAATGTATGTATGTATATTGTAAGATTTTTATGCAAACCACAATGACTGTTCAGAATATTTAATTATTGTTTATTACTGGTAAATATGACAGTTAAAATAATAAGATAATGAGTAATGTAAATAAAAGGTATACAAGTGCGCATTTAGGTAGTATGTATTTTAATAAATATCGCAATTGCTGGCTTGCATTTTGTTGACACCAAACAAATACAGATATATGTACATATGCACTTGCATGTGAACTTTTATAAATTTAATATATGCTTGTACCTCTGGTATAGCACCTGGTGACACTTTGATCCTATTTGGTCTTTGTGGGTCCTCTAATGACTGCCAATGAAATTGAGGATTAATTGGATGATGACTTGATCGAGATATTTCCGCCTGAAAGACACTGCAGTGGTCCGAAAGCCGGAACCTAGTTTTGATAGAGTGCTCCCGCCACAGAACAGAACACCCCTCTACCACACCTGCCTCCAAGTTGGGATACGTCCGTCCGGCTTACAATCGAATACCTTCTATCTGCACTTTTCACAAAAATAAGATTCTGACAACAAAAATCCACCTAAGACTTAACTGTCATCGGTGATATTTCGACAAAATTCAAAAATTTTGAACTAAAGACTTTTTGTGCTTAGACTGCCAAAATTAAAAATATTGACTTTTAAAAACTCGTTAAATATTTCCATTTCCCAAAAGGCAGACACTTGGAAAAATTCTATACTATTTAACAGCAACTTTTAAAGTGACTGAGAACAATAAAAAATTTGCAGCCGATAAATAAAGTTGAAAAAGGAAGTTTTGTTAATAAAGGCTGCGTTTCTTTATACATTCCGGATAATCCCATTTCACAGCCAGAATAAACAGAATGCGTTTGAAATGTACGTCAACATATCATCAGAAACGTTCTAAAGAATAAATAAACAAAAAAGTTTATTCCAAACGTTCAGAATGAATAAAGAAATGCAGCCAATATGTTCGCTTACAAATTGTTCGGTGACGTTCAGAACAGGCCTGTAAGTGAGGTCGAAAATATTTTAATTCTAAAATTTTTACTAGGTACAAAATTTTCGCAAAAATTTTAGAAAGTTTTGGAGTTATTCTTCAAAAAGTATATTTTGTAATACGATTCGAAAACACTCCATTGTTACTGGTTTATAAGAATGTTTTAATTTTTTGGTAGATTTATGTTTTAATATTAATCCTTCCTAATATTTCATTTTTCTTTCGCTTTTTCTTATTCACTAACAATTTTCACTTTTATTCTCTTTTAGGATGGCCTTGCACGCTCATAGCATCAATACGGTGCGCTCCACCACCAGCTTGAGCAACATGATCAACAGCAACAACAATGATCTTGCCAATGGCAGCAATGATCGCCGCCATATTGTCGATATATTAGTTGGTGTTGTTGCGGTACCGGTGCTAATACTTTTCGCATTACAACTGGAAAAGAATCTACAAAATATGCCCAATAGTCCATGGCTGGTGTTTGTGCTGGGCGTGGGACTGCTAATGGTGATCATGATAATTATCGGTTATGTGACGCATCGGTTGAGTGTATGCTGTTGGACGGGACCCATCGATGAGATGGGCAACCGAATGGATGGACGGGGAATACCACATGTAAGTTTCGTTATAGCGACAGTTTTTTCGAGGTTCATTCAAATTTGTTTCAGCCAAGGTATAGGAATCAGGTAGTATAGCATTAAAGCAAAAACAACATTTACGTGTACATATTTTGTTATTGCTTCTGGTATCTAAAGTGTCAAAGAAAATATTCTATTTTATTTTAAATGGCGTAGTAGGTCATGTGAAATATAAAAAAAAATAAAATGTATGCGACTTTCTTTCTGGTAAATTTGTTTGGGGCCGAAGGTTTCACATGCAAATACATACATTTTGACAATATAAATTTTTTTGGAAAAAAATAACAATACTTGACATTTTAGAGATGAAATAATTTGAAAAAAAAAAATATCAAATCAGCTGTTCTGCTGCTACTAACTGTTCAATATGCCTTGGTTTTTCGAGCCAAATTCCGAATCGAATTGCATGGCAAACCCACAACTAATTTTCAAAAATCCTATTCACTTTTGTTTTAACTCAAACTTTCTGCTCTACCAACAGATCAACACTCAAAATGATATATTGCGCATTGTGGACAACCTGCCACCCAGTTATGAAACCGTTGTGAAGCATGAAATCCCGCCACCGCCCTACGATTGTGTCATTGTCAATTTGGAACAGTGTAAGGAACAACAGCTAACACCGACTGCGACAACAGCTGCCACAACGAGCAATTCTTCCACGGAGGCCAGCGTCAAGGAAGCACCACCAGCCACAGCGGCGGTACTGCACATCTGACTTGGCACTTTCGGTACGACAAAAAAGCTGCCGTTTCACAAAGTTTTTACATAGTATAAAGCACTTTTATAGTAGAACGGCTCGAGGTAAGCTTTACGGAGAGAGAATTTAAAGAGATCGACGCCTTTGCAGCAAAACAGGAAACTTTCAACAGGAATATAATGTGCTTGTTTACACTTGCCTCGTTATGAGGTTAATGTGGTTATGTGGTTCTCTTTTTTATTCAGTTTACAACAATAAAATACACTGTAGAATAATGAATTTTTACCACTTAGGTAAACCGATTACCAGGCAAGTGTGAAAACCACATTATAATTAATTTTAGTTTATATTAAGATTAACAGCTAATTATTTTTGGGGGTTTCTGTCATTAGCGCAACGACTACTGCCAGACAGTTTTTAATGTCCACTTTAAGCGCTTCAGCTCGAAGAAGACAACGTTAAAAAGCCTAATTTTATTTTAAAATCAGATTGCAATTTAATTGAAGTGGCAAGCTTTAAAAATTAAATATGAAATTTTTAACATCAATTTCCTCTTCTGCTAGTCCACACTTTTTGTACTTGTTGTCAAACAAAAACTTGGATTTTCCGCATGCGTAATTTTCAGAGCCCGAATGGCAATATTTGCCACTTTAATTTTGTAAACTTCAAAAAAAAAAAAACCTATGATAATTTAAAATATCTGAGATCCTAAAGCGTATTTATATTGTACTTCGGACTTTAAACTTAGCTCAACGCTACAATTGTATGCGAAATAGTTTTAAAACAAATACCTATTTACAGTATATATATTACTATGTAAGTGATTTTTATATGTTAAAGCAAATTTTCAAAAAACAAAAACCTAGAGTTGTATACAAAACTTCATTAGCATAGTTAAAAATATCGCCTTATATATACGTGCATTAGGGGGAGTCAATTTGTATCGGAGATTTTTTCGACTATGCGCATATAGCATAGAAGTATTTTACTTATAATTCTAAGCAAATTTGCCATAGAAACCTTGTGTCTTTAATCACTTTGAAGTTTGCCAAATTGCAAAAATAGGTTTCTTAACCTTTTAAGGTAGTGTCGTAAAGAAGTGCTAAATTTTTTTTTTTTAAAGACATGAAGTATGGGGTTTTTGGTATGAGGAATCCATTTCTGCGCTTGTATTTTTCTTGGAACTTCCACCAGAGAGTGCAACAGTGAAAATTTTCACATTTTCTTCGAAACCTATTTTCGCTATTTGGCAAATTCCAAATTGATTTTAGACCCATGGTTTCTTCGGCAAATATGCTTAAAGTCACACGTAGAACCCTCCTATGATATACGCGCGTAATCAAATAAAATTGACTCGCCCTAATATACATACATACACAATCAGGGTATTCATCTAAACGCGTAAATGCCTTGTAACTGTGTAAACCTCGTAAATAAACCGGTGTTCCATACAAAATTAAGCAAATTTACGAGGTTTACGTGGTTACGCGTTTAGCTGAATTGCCCTAATGTATAAACAAAACAAAAAAGAACTCGTAAAAATACTACTAGCCTCTAAGCCTCAATTCATTGTAAATATTCCTGAACAGCATCTAGTCGGTGGTACTACTTATTTATCTTTAAATTACTTCTTGATTAACACAGTTATGTATTTAGTTTTATGCAAACGATAAACAGCATTTAAAATATTAAATAATTGTATATATACATAAATAGTGTAACTATGTAGGATATTGATTAGTTTATAAGTATTTTTATCAAAACGGTTCTGATAAAAAATCGATCTAACAATAAATTTAAAAGATTAAACAATCGTAAACAAAATAAAAATCTTAATTAATTTGTCTTTTTCATTCATACTAAAGTAGCAGGGTGCCAAAAAACGTGTTTTTGAAAAACTTTAAATTTTATCGCGGATTCCGGTAGGTTAGCAATCCAGTAAAAATTTTTGTTCGAGAAAATATTGGCTTAAGGTGATAAACGCATAGAAATGGGCGTGGCAGTTTTAGCACTAAAGTTAACAAAATGAAGATTTTATTGTCGCTTTCGACAGAATAGTCTTTCCTTAATAACATTTGTTCAGCAACCTTTTTTGAAATCGAAAAATTTTCTAGAAATAGGCGTGGCAATTTTAGAAGCAAAGTAAAAAAAAATGTATTTCATGTGGACTTTGGCAGAGTATCTATTCACTTACAACATTTGCTTAGCAACTCTTTTTGGTAGAGAAGAAAGTCTTATTTTGTAATTTTTAAGTAAGTAATTTTTAAAATAATAAATAAATAATGCCAACCTTTTTACCCTCCTTTCCCGAAGCGAGGGGCGCAGTCCGCGTGACGTACGGAACTTTTTTTGTGCCGAGTCGTGGAAACAGAAGCACCAGAGCACCGGAGAACCGTGTTATATCCGAAATGAGAACATTTACCGCCACTTGAAAATACCAGAAGTACGAACCGAAATAGAACAACGGAAGACGAAATACATATGTATGTATCGAAGTTTTTAGCGCACCCAAATCATTTAGCAAGAACTTGATTGCGTGTCAACAGGACCACAAGACTACGTAGGATTTTATTTAAATAAAAATTAATTTTTATACAATATTACTAAAGTTTTATTATTTATATAATAATATATTTAATAATATAATTTGTTATTAATTATTTTATATATATATATTTTAGCCGGCAGTTCATACTGCATCCTCCGGTAGACAAAGCCAAGTGTCGAGTGACCAGAAGGCTGCACAAACTGCCAACAAATTGTGCCCCNTTTAGCCGGCAGTTCATACTGCATCCTCCGGTAGACAAAGCCAAGTGTCGAGTGACCAGAAGGCTGCACAAACTGCCAACA